ATATATAAAATATTTTACGGTGAGTGCAAAAAAAAGTTTTCAATTCGGATTCCTTAAAGGGACACACACCCCTCTGTGTTGAGGATCATGCTCTTGGTACTTCTTGCTACAAAACAGATCCATGCTGGTAGTAGGAGGTGTAATACTGGGCTGGCCTAAAATGTTTTTTTTATTTACCAGTGTCCAATTCTTCTGTAGGCAGCAGAATAACAGAGGGTTAAAGACTTTATGTCCCTCAGTGGACTTCATGAAAAGGTTTTCACATCATGTATACAAAAAACTTTTTCAACTAACATCAGTGAAATTTTTTCACCAAAGGGATTTCTTTTAACCACTTCAGGGCCATAGGACGTATATGTACGTTCTTATCTCGAAGTGGTTATACCAAGATCATCATCTGCTGCAGCAGCTGTTATCTTGGTATCCATTTTAAGAGCAGGCGGAGCGCTTTAGAGTACAAGTGATCTGGGTGGCTGTAGATCCACCTGATCACTTGTATCATCCTGTAAAGGTGTGCTCTTAACGCTTCAGAGCTGTAAAAAGCCTGGCTGAAATGCTCGGTAAACAGATGATCAGGCATAATCCTCTGCTTGATTGTCTGCGTTGATGGGTAGGGGAGACATTAGGGGTCAAACAAGACACCTAATGTCTACATAAAGAGAACCTTTCACCTACTAATGCTATCACATGGGGGCTGGTTAGCTCCCTTATGATAGCAATAAAATGAAGTTGAAAAAAAGTTAAAACATTTTTAAAGAATAGTAAAATAATAATTAGAAGCAACCCTGATGCCCCCACCATCTACATGCGAATGCAAAAGCACAAGTAGGGCATGTGCATAGTTGTTGCTCCACACATGTTAGAGAGAGCAGTTATAACTGTTATATACTATATACGTTTTCACCATTGTGCAATTTCAAAGCATGACATGTTTGGTATCTATTTACTCGATGTGATCCCATCTGTTGTATATTTTTTTAAAGGGTATATATTGTGTTTGTGTATACTAAAATTCATTTTAGTCTATTCTTTCCTAAAAATATTAATTTGATAACATTTTGCGATAATCATCGTGCAACATAAGAAAAATGCAGCTATCACTTTTGCATTTGACAGTGCCTCTGCTTTCAGATAATATATAATTGTTTTGGGGATTAAAGTCATTTTCTATTCAAAATTTCAGTTTCTAACGTGTGAAAAATGAAAATATTGTTTAGGTCCTGAGGTGGTTAAAATAACCTGTGCATCGTTTACAATTGGTAAACTGGAAAAAGGACTGCAAATTCTTAAGTCTCTCTGGGACCCTTCAGTCACAGCTGACTCGACTCGCATGCCCTACTATTGCTTAATGTGGTTGTCCGTTACCAAGAAGGCGACGCAATTTAGGGGGAATGGGAAGGCGCTCCTTCTTTTGGAATTAGTAATCACTTGCATAGAAGATTGTCATTGGTTAAAGTGTCAGTACAACCAAAAATTCCCAAAAAGTTGGGACGTTGTGTAAAATTTACATAAAAGCAGAATGCAATGACTTGCAAGTCTCATAAACCCATATTTTATTCACAATAGAAAACATATGAAATGTTTAAACTGAGAAAATTTAACATTTTAAGAATAAAATAAGGTCATTTTGAAATTTACGGCAGCAAGCTGTCTCAGAAATTAGGAACAGGGCAACAAAGGGCTGGCAAAGTTAGTGGTTCTAACAAGGAAGAGCTGGAAGAACATTTTGCAGCTAATTTTTGGTTAATTGGTAGCAGGTCAGTTAAATGATTGGGTATAAAAGAGCATCTAGAGAGTCAGAGTGTCTCAGAAGTAAAGATGGGCGGAGGTTTACCAATCTGTGATTCAGCATAATGTTCATGAACACTTTAAATAGATTATCATCTACAGTACATAACATCATCAAAACATTCAGAGAATTTGGAGAAATCTCTGTGCGCAAGGGACAAGGCCAAAGCGCAATATTGGATGCCTGTGATCTTTGGGCCCTCAGATGTCACTGCACTAAAAGCAGGCATAAGATGGACATCACTGCATGGGCTCAGGAATGCTTCCAAAAATCACTGTGAACACAGTTCGCCGTTGCCATCCAGAAATGCAAGTTAAAGCTCTATCCTGCAAAGAAGCCATATCTGAGCATGATCCAGAAACGCAGCCGTCTTCTCTGGGCCAAAGCTCATTTAAAATGGTCTGTTGCAAAGTGGAAAACTGTTCTGTGGTCAGACAAATCAAAATTTGACATTCTTTTTGGCAACCATGAGCACTGCATCCTCCGGACTAAAGGAGAGGGACCTTCCGGCTTGTCAGTGCTCAGTTCAAAAGCCTGCCTCTCTGCACATCTTGAAAGGCACCATCAATGCTGAAAGATATATCCAGGTTTTAGAGCAGCATATGCTCCCATCCCAACAATGTCTTTTTCAGGAGGAAAATACTAAACCGCATACTGCATCTATGACAACAGCATGGCTTTGTAGTAGAAGAGTCTGGGTGCTTAACTGACCTGCCTGCAGTCCAGACTTTTCACTAGAGGTGCACCGAAATGGAAATGTTAAAACCGAAATAAAAAAAAATATCAGGCCCTGATATATGTGTCCCCTGTTATCAATGAACAGGAATCCTCTATGAGTGTTCCTGTTCATTGATAACATGAGAACATTGTTCGTTTACTATAACTACAATTATGAATGAATGGGGGTGATGTAGATCACTTCCATTCATTCATAATTGAGGATATAGTTAACATACCATGTCCTCAATTATGTACACACACTCAGCGATCACTGATCGCTGAGTGTGTGTACCTTGCTTTTCTCTCTGACACGCTGTCACAGGAGGCTGATCGAGCAGTGTAGAGAGGAAAGCCCAGCCTCCTGTGACCGCACTGTCTCTGCCCACACACCGCTCTGCCGGACTGTGATAGGCGGCTGAGTAGTGTGGGAGGAGAGACGCCGTCCGCTCACAGCGCTCTCGTCCTGCATCGCTCGGCCGGCTGTCACTTTCTTTTCTCCCCACTGGAACAGCGGCCAGCGGGGAGAAAAGAAACCAGGGATGCGCCGATGTATCGGCCGAAACATTTTCGTCTGCGATATATCGGTGCATCCCTACTTTTTCACCAATTGACAATATTAGACGCATCTTCAAACGAAAAATACAACAAGGACCCAGGACTGTTGAGAAGTTAGACTTTTGAGCAGGCAAGAATGGGCCAACATTCCTCTCTTTAAGCTCCGGGATCTGGTCTCCTCTGTTCCTAGACGTCTACTGAGTGTTATAAAGAAGAGGGAATGCTACACGGTGGTAAACATGGCCGTGTCCCACCTTTTTTGAGACATGTTGCTGCCATCAATTTCAAAATTACCTTTTATTTTTTTTCTTTAAAATGGTACATTTTCTCAATTTAAACATTTGATGTGTTTTCTATTTATGAATAAAATATGGGTTTATGAAATTTGCAAATCATTGTATTCTGTTTTTCTGTAGATTTTACACAGCGTACCAACTTTTTTGGAATTGGGGTTGTATACTCAAAACTTTGCTTGT